ACACATTGTACTATGCATATGTTTTGGTTGTGAAAATTCTGGCCTCAAAATTTTTCTTTTCATTTAATTTGTAATACAAAATATAGGAATAGTAATAAGAAGATTGATTTCCAAATTATTGCCAATTTTTCTGCTTTAATTGTTAAAGAATGGATTTCTTTTAAAAAATGCCTTTTGGGGATTTAGCTCAGTGGTTCCACTGCCTGCCTCGAAAGCTCAAGAGCCCGAGTTCGATCCCCGGTACCAAAAAAAATGTCTTTTCGTTTTTATAGTAGTTTTGTTATATTGGGCTGACATTAGCTTTATTTGAGTAGAATCCAGGAAAAGAGTAGTTAAATAGCTTAAGAAAGATCACACGGTGTTTCCTGCTGCTTCATGTAATACTGTGATTTTATTAAAGGATCAATTAAAATGTACAGATAATCACTAAGGAGTGACATAGTGCTCCTATGTGTTAGGGTAACCAAAAAGCAGTGTCATGCATGCAGAAAATCATCAGTGTGATGAAATAGAGCTTTTAAAGTAGTATGTAGGTTTACAATAAACATTTATGGGGGTGTATTGGAGAAAGAGATTAGTTACAAACTTGGAAAGGTTTTCATGTCTCTGTGCACTAATTACTAAAATTTCAAGCAGCAAAACTTTGCATAAAGCGGCTGGATTATGGAGTGCAAAGCACCAAGGAAGTATTTGAAGGACAGTAAGTAGTCCAACAAGGATAACATTCGTGCAGAGGTCGTGGTATGAAGATACACAGTGAGTATGAAAACAGGCAGGCTTTAGCTAGATTACTGCCATCTTTATATCACAGCCTATGCCATTGGGATTTTAGGCCAACGAATACTATCAGCCCTGGAGTTCAGAAAGCAGGCAGTGAATTTAAATCCAGGAATGGGAGTCTGGAAATGGTACTAACTCTTTTGGGCAAGTGTGTAATCACTCTATACTCAATTTATCCTATTTCAAAATAAAATAAATCACACACATACACACAACATCCACATACACAGTTGTTATTGAGATCTTTAAGGATTAACTTAATTGTGCTAATAAATTGAAAATATTTAGATGCCAGTCCCAGATATTACTAGGCTTTAAACTTTTTCTTGTTATTATTAATAGTTCTCATTCTCTGAGTGTACATGAGGGCAGTGTACTCCAGGTAGATTACCATGAAATGAGAGAGAAAGATAGCAAAAAGCAGGTTGAAGGCAACGGCAAAAGAGGCTGTGTAACAAAATGAAAGGTGAATTTTAGTTTACAACAAGAAATAGGTCCAAGCTCCAGCCTCAACATTTTCTGCATAAATTTAACAACTGTAGGCCAATCACTTAGCATCTTGAGTCAATCTCCTTTTTTTGTAGACTATATAATGGAATAATAAAAATATGACAGATTAAGCAAATTCAGTACTAAAGTCTTTGCCATGTGTTTCAATAGTAGTAGATACTCAATGAGCTGTAAATTAAAAAAAAACAAAACTCTTATTGTTCATAATGCTGGAAACTTACTGATGGATAGTAAAGGATGGGCTATAAAAATGGAGAAGAAATAAACAAGTTTTTTAAGGAGGTAAATATTTGATAAATAATGACTAACAGTCTAAAGAGTGATAAATTTACATAAGGGTAATTCTTGAAAACCATTATTAATAGAGCAAAGATGATATTTTAGTTTACTTCTGGCCTTGGCAGGTTTTCAATGCTACTTTTTTGCTGTGCCCTTTTTTCTCCCTCAAAAGTTTCTAGAAGCTGCTGGATAGAAATTTCAGTTCACGCTGTGAATTCTCTGTCTCTTCCCTACCATGTGAAGTACACTCAGATTGTTGTTACGTCCATACGCAAGGTTACTCTCCTGCTTTGGGCTGGCTGAGTGATCTTGGTAGACCTCTTCAGTGTCACTTATGTTTAATCATACATTGTTCCTTGTCATTTGTTTTGTTTTGTGTTCTTCTAAATACTATTGTAGGCAGGACTAATTCTTATATTTTCTTTTCACTATCATCAGTTGAGCCTAACTGTATGGCTTAGCATCCTTAGCTCCCAAGCATACCACGATGATTTTCCAATCAGCAGGTAGCTACCGTCCCCCAAACAGCAAGTGGTGATTGCTTTTTGAAGATCTAAATATAATTTAGAAAGGAATCTTCACTTAATAAACATTTTTTTAAACAGAAAAGTTTTTTTCTATAGGAAAGAGATAAATCTACGTGGCACAGCTTTCAGTAATTTTATGTTTTAAAAAACATATGCTCCTTAGCTCATTTTTCAGTACAGAGCTTGGGAGGACCAGTGCTTTTGTCCACAATGATGAGTTTGGGGGCAGCACAGCTGGTTCTGGGATACAGTCTGTCTCCACTACTTGGGAGCGGGAAGGGTCTGACCACCTGCTGGGAGTGGGAGGAGCTTCACCACATCACTTTAGTGTGGTCCCTAATACTGCTGATATTTGTGGCTTATACCATGGATGGCCTACATTGTGTTCTTGGCATTTATATCATTTCATTTCCATCTTGGTCTTTTAGTCTTCAGAGATGTGGGCATTCTTCCATTTAAGCTATTCTCCTAATTGTACATAACTTCATTTGATCTTCTCTAGCCTTTTTGTGCTCATAAAACAACTAAATTTTTGTGTGTTTCCCCACCATTTGATTCCTAGGCACATGGTATAATAATTCTTTCCTTCTTTGCCATTGAGGGATACTCTAATAAGCATGCAACTGCAGGAAATTCTAAACAAAAGCAGGTGCTAGTTTCTATGTTTACCCTTGGCCTCAAATCAGGAGATATGTCAAACAGTCACAAAAATATGCTCATCATATTTTGCTCTTCTGTGTACCAGAGACATGAAAATTCTAAAGTCAAGCTAGCAATGTGGGATCAGAATGACAGCTTTCCTCTTACTGTTTCTGTCTCCACTTTCTACAAACCCAATGTCATTCTGCTCCATGCCTTGTCTTCATGCCATGGGGAAGCGGCACTACCTTCCTTTCTCATTGCCAGGGAAAGGAAAAGCTTCTTACAGAAAACACTCTACTCTCCCAAATGCCACGCCTCCCTGCTTCCAGGCCACCACTCTTCCCACCCTCTCTCCGGTCACCCTACTGGGCTACAGCTGGTCCCACTGTCTCTTTGTAAGACCAGGGGCAAGTGTGAGGCCAAAAATGCTTGGTGCTCAATCTCTTTGACTTTATGTTAGGACTAGACACTACTTTAGGCAAAATGAAAATTTTCTCTTAACATCATTATGCAGCTTAATAATGATGATGATGATAATAATAATAATGATAATAAGCCAACATTGGTACAGAACAAGGAGAGTTAATGAACTCATTTTGGTTCAGTAATTAAGAGTTTCTGCTATGCTAGAAGGTATTATAAATAAAAGTAGTATTTAGTTTTAGAGTAAAACAGATGTCTCATCCATTTCTTAAGTAACCCGATGTTCTGTTTAACCTGGGAATGATTATCACACCACAGCTATATAGAAGATAAATTGATTCATTAATTTCAGACTAAAACAGTATAATAGTATTCATTTAGAAAATTTGCATGACTTCTTTTTAGATAAGTCCATCTACAGCCTACTTACCTTACTGCGCAATAATCCAAAGTTAAGTCTTCCTTACAAACCCCTGCTAAAGAGGATTTCATAAAATACTTTCCTTTTCTTACTGCAGAGAAACAGGCTCACATTGTTCCTATCTTCACCACAGTTTCTAGTTTGTTGGTTTTCATCTAAACTCTAGGAATCACACTGTTCCACAGAACTGTCACTTGCACAAAAGGGGCAGAAGATGATTCCTTCTTTAGAGAGGGAATCAGTAAAATTAGAATACATAGAATGTCTTCCTTTCTATGATCAGAGCCACCAGTGGAGATGTATAAATGGTACACCATTCAGTCTGTATTCTTATGTAGATTGAAAATACTGGAGTTATAATAAATGAGCTCAAATTGTTTTAGCTGAAATCTAGCCAGTGGCTTTAAAAAGTATGGCTGGATTAATTATGAGAATTAGAAACAATTTTCCATGATTAGGAAGTGTAATTTTTGAATGTACTTGATTTTATCCACACTATTAAAAAATAAAGCTTGATGAAAATTCTCAGCTTTGCAATTCAAGTCTTTCTCCACTTTGCAGTTTCCTCTCAACCATAAAAGACTCAAGGGAATAGAGGAAAAAGAGAAAAGACAAATTCAGAAAAGACTGCTAGCTTATGTTCAAAAATATGAAAGAAAGTTGCCCAAAATATTGTCACAATTTCTCTACTCACAATTCATTCCATTCTTGTCAGACCTCCTGGATTCATTGACAGACTATTATATTCAGAATGGCTGTTGAAAACTTTCAGCACCTAGGAATGCTCTTGAGACATATAAAAATGTCTTTATTTAGAATGGAACACATAATACCTGCCAAAATTGTAGGTTTGAAACCACTTTCAATAAGAATTAAAAGGCTCTCTTTCTTGCTGAAACAGGACTATCAATATACGTACGACTTGTCTGCCCATGAGAAATAGTGGGTCCTTGTCTCTGACGTTGCCATTTAGTTTAAAATCACCTTACGATGACAGAGTACATAAAGATGATAAAACTATGAAGATGACAGTCTAATCTTCAAAGATGACCAATCACTGATGAAACATTAAACAACATAAACATCTGAAATACCAGATTATTAGCTGGTGCGCACACTCTCAATATTAAAGTATGCTGAGACACCACCGATAAGAGAAAAAAATACTTTTGCTTATGTTAGGCAGAATTTCATCTTTCTTTACAAGGGGCCAAATGAATTACACTGCATTGAATTAACAAGCTAGATCTATATTTTTTTCCTCAATCACAATGCAATATATGTAAAATGTTAATACATGATACACTGCAAAGTGTTCCAAATATTTAAAAAACATATAATGTCTGGCTGCTGGGAATTTTAAGCACCCTTTAATCATAGCTCTTTTGAATTTTAATAACAATTTTATATGTACTTACAAGAATGATTAGACATGCTGGCCCTATAAAACTCCAAATAAAGTTGTTTTCTGTGCTAAGCCAACACCTGGAAAGTAAATAAAATAGATAAAATTCATAAATATATTTGAATTTATCTCAACACAGCAATATTCTTAAGGATATGCAAAATATATACGGAACTGTGTTTCATTGCTCAAGAAATCACCTTAACTTACACTTTAGTGGTGCCATAATATCTGTATCCTAATGATGCTGAGAATCCAACTACCACGGCTGGGCTGAGATAGCCAAAGACATAAAAATTCTTGTGCAGAAAGCCTTTGTTGTAGATGACTCCAACAACAATGAGGTAGAGATGTATGCCCTCAATGCACATCCAAGCAAAGGCGGCTAAAAAGAAGTAATGTAGTAGCCCAGCGATGATTGAACAGAGGAGCTAGACATGAAAGAGAGAAGCCATAAGTTATGTTTGCTTTAAAATCATCCATAACAAAAATCTCCGTTTTTTCCATAAAGCATGCCACCTCATATCTGTTTGACCACTTTAAAGTATCCATGTCATGTGAGTTTTTTAATATGTACCACTATTTCTAGATGATTTAAAAGAATCGTGTTCTTCAGCCTTAACCATTGACCAATCCTGTGCTAAAACCGTGTTACTGCCGTCGTCCACAGATTCTTCATGATGTGATAAACTGTTCACAGATCCACCACAGTGTCTTGTGCATATTTTACAATGTCAGTTGATTACTGTGGTGGGAAAATTTCTCTTCTCCTTTATTTATACTAATGAGAGACAGCAAACGGTAATACTGTGCTAAGCATAAACAATACAAAACAAAAACCAAAAAAACAAGACCCACCTTGAGTAAGTGACAAAATTGAGTTTACAGAACAGACAAATGATATGTTTTTCCAAGGCATTATAGAACTGCTTAGGTTGTAAGATTATTAAGGAAATGAGAGAGCTTTACAGTTATATATTATTACTTTAGATCTAGAACTAGAGTAAGTCTTTTTTTTTTTTTTTTTTTTTTTTTGTT